TAGCACAAAAATGACAACCATTCGGCCATTTTGAAAGGGATCGTCAAACCAATATATCTGTCTATCTATGACATGATGTATAAAGAATATTTAAAATTTGAACATAATCAGTCAAAACAAGTTGGAAATATGGGTCTAGAAGCCCATTCATTAAAACAAAATGGCCGCCAGTCAGCCATTTTGAATGTTATCTGAAAAACAAAATTATTTGCATCAAGGTCCCATAATGTCTAATGTATATATCAAGTTTGAACGAAATCCATCTGTAAACAGCCGAGAAATGCTTGATTTTTATGATTTTTTAACACAAAAATGGCCGCCATTCGGCCATCTTGAATCAGATCGTAAAACAAAATGATGTTTATCAAGGTCCTATAATGTCCAACGTATATACGTATATAGGTTTGAACAAAATCCATATGTACCGGTAAACAGCCGGGAAATGCTTGATTTTGATGATGTTTAGCACAAAAATGGCCACCATTCAGCCATCTTGAATCAGAACGTGAAACAAATTGATGTGCATATGTATGATATCATGTATGATGTATGTGTGAAGTTTGATTGTGATTGGTCCAGGCATTTCTAAGATACAAGTTCGGACGCACGCACGGAGGTCAAAACATAAGTCCCCGTTTTCGGACTTCATCCGAACGGGGACTAATAAACACCTGTCCATGATTATTTAGAAATTATTATTATAGTGAAAACTAACCTTACAATTCCTTCTGATGTGCCTGGTACTGACAAGACAACTTCAATAGCGTTTGGTGAATGTGACTGCTCTTTGAGTATACCCATAATGCGTGTGGCCTCTTGTTCACTTCTAGGTGCATTCATTGTGGCAGAGCCAAGATAGACAATTCTACTAAACACTGTACATTCTCCATCAATTAATGCAGAATTTGTTGGTGATTCTGGTGACGATGCTGATCTTTCCCGGCCTTTATCTAAAATATTTAATATTTCTACATTTGCTTTAACTGCATTTATCTGGATCATTAAAATATGACCATATACATCATTTATTTAGACATGCACTTATAATAGAGTATTATATATTATTATACACATGTCATCGTAATGCCATGAGTTACAGCGTGCCGTAATTTTGTGGTATTTTACAGGGTATTTTCATCCTACCATATTAGGAAATTTGAGATTATGCACAAAAGCGTCCTCTTATAATAATAAAAACATAGCTGCCACCAGAGTTTGACCAGACTCCAGACAAAGAAGTTTGTTGATTTTGTTCTAAACTTTTTGGATTTTGGCATTCCCACAATGTATCCTTGGAAGTAAAAGTTGTATAATAATAAGGTTATTACGAGGATACCTCAAAGTAATACCTCAAAGTATACCCCTCAGACAGTATGCCGTCGCATCAACCTCCGCTGCGTGTCGGTCGATATTTGCGCTGTACTGTCTTCATGCATAATTTGAGGTATCCTCGTAATAACTTGTATTTCAAAATACAGTGAACTTGAAGTGAGGAAGCTATAATAGAACAAACCAGGAATATACATACCATGTTTGGAAGCTGTACTACTGAATTCATCACCCATACTTACAACACGTGACCTATTCAAAGTAGTTGTGTAGAATGTACTTGTTCCAAAATTGGTGCGTTTTTCATTACATGGTAAATTGTGCTCAATATTTTTTGTGTGAGAAAGAACACTCTGTTCCACAGCATCAGTTTCCGTTGCACTCTTTGATTTCACAGTCTTTTTATCAACCTCTGCATCTTCCTTTTCTTGGTCACTTAATACTTCTTCCAAGGTATGTTTCAACTCATCCATATTGCCATTACCAGCAATTTTAAGCCCTTCTTCTTTCACAGCTTTCAATGGCGTGTTATCGGTTGCTTCAGATGGCGATACTAGCACGTACTCATCAGTAGTAGATATAGAATCAGATGAACTACGGCTTACTGTGTCTTCCATGTAGACCGATGACACAATAACTATAAACAATAGGGATAATAGAGTTAATTCAAACTCTCATTTTTGGGGGTTTTTCTTTTTTTTCATTGGATATTAGTCATGCAGTATTACACATATTATTCACTCACACAATAAAGAAAAATGTACACCCCATCACAAATACAAATGGCAAGTGGGCAAAAAATTCTCTTTTTTTCACTACTGAGTGTGCTGCTAACTTTGGGAGTCAAACCCACAAACTCCCCGATGTTACATTGTAGGTAGACTGGGACCATTGTGCCACACATCAGGTCAAACAATCTCAATTCAATGTACATACATGATGATTCACAGAACAACAATGCACTACTATACAGATATTTAGAGAACTACTACATGAATCATAATTTGTTCCAGAAAGTCTCCACAAATAATTGTATAGAATATTCATTGCAGGATTCAATAATATCTCTACAGTCGTTGCATGTTGCGATGTATGTAAAATGCATTACATGTTTATCACAAAATTAAAATCTACACAACTCTGAGAACCTGCTCTGAACAGATGAAATGCAATATAAGGACATTTTGAATTATTTATTATTGAATCATTACCAAATCTGTAAAAAATCAGTCCTTAACCTATAAGATACCACACCCATAAGTACTCAGACTGTTCATTTGGGCAAAAAAAAAGTTTATGTATGTAATCCTACAGTAAATTAACAATGATACAATAGGCAGAAAAATTTTAATTTGTTTGCGAGAAGGAAGAGGTGGAACAACAAGATTTACAGGAAAAATCACTTCTGAGAGAACATATACTTCTGCATAGTTTCCCTTGATATTAATTATGCATGCAAAATGAAAGATATCACTCGATTTCAATAATATGCGGAGCATGGCTAGGTTAAACTTCCTGTTAAGTGGTCAACAAAATAAAGGTCACGAATCCATGCTATTCTTTCATGCTAGTGAAAAAGAGATATTTTAAACAGGAGACATCAGTAAACATCAATGCGTATTTATTATCACTGCAGTATTGCATATTTGACCAGTGAAAAAATTGCACAATCTTGTGTCCACCGAATCTGTGATTGGCTGGTTGCTCTGTGACGTTGCATGAGCTGTCAATCATTCTCTGTTCAGTACCGATGGGAAACCATGTAATGTCGCATAAGAGTGTTTACAAATGTTAACAGTTCTCAGGCCTTCACTAAATTGACTGTCTTGTACATGCCTTTGGCATTTGCTGATTTAGTATACCCGGTACTAACAACTTAGGCGAGAGGACTGTTGACAGTTTTAAACCAGCTGCTTCAGAAAATACAAATTAACCATTTTTTTTATGTTTAGAAATATGAGCGTCTTAATTCTCTCCTGCATTGTTAATGTTAGTTATTTATCATGTTTTCAGAATTTATTATTTTATTGTACTTTTCATTAAATTCTTAAATATGGGGTATGATAGCAATACAGATTCTATTATTCTTAAAAATGCCCCTTGTTTACTTTACTTGAGAAGGAAGTTAATTTTATCACTCAATGTAAACTATACATGTATTTAAACAAAAACATGTGCATTCTATTTTTTTACATTTACATACATTTAATTCCTTATTTGACAAAAAAAAACTTTACTCATCAAAGGCAGAAATAAACAACTTAACTTTAATTACATAACATGAACTACATACATACATGTGTACATTCATTCTGAAATTTATGGTCACTGACATTTTGTGTTGACATTTAAATCATTATTGTCATTTATATATAAAAAAGGGAATGTCAAACTTTTTTGACAGTGATAATAAAGTATTCTATTCTAAAGAACAATTATATTAATCAAAGTGACAGCAATTTGAAGCCAGTAGATAAAAAATCTAAATGTATTTACTATCTTATACTAAAATATGTTTGGATATTTAGAGTAGTAACAAATTCCCACTTCCGGTCCGATTAAAATACACTCTGAATATTCACTTTTGAGATATAATTTTTGGTATGTGTTGGTTCTTGGATATTTCAGCTTCGTCGTCCTGTACTTCGTTTAGTAAGTTGAACTTCTCAGATTGCGTAAAAATAGTTTTGTAATTTTTACACGAAAAATGCCTGGGTTAAATTATTTGCTGAGGGACGGCCACTTAGGTACGTCCTCTGTAACTTGCAGCACATGAACCTGAAAGCGTTAGGCAATCAAACAAAAATGACGTTATACTAAAGTATGTGCAAGGTCTTCACTTTTCATAGCATGAAAATGATTTTCTTCCATGCTTATTATGACACCCTCAAATCCATTCCCCTCAAAAGTCAACAATGGGATAATCCCCAATTTTATGACTCCAAACAGTTGTTTATGCTTCACGTGTTTATTTGTCTTCAATTGTTTTGGTGTCTTGTCGGTAACGTTTTGGTTTCAATTCACATCGCTGTCAACTAACATGCTGGAAATCAAATTAGCATAACAATTCGTTTGACCTTGTCGCCATTTTCATCCACAGCTTTCCACACCAATGCCACACCACAGACAACTAAAACATTTAAACCTTTGTTGGGAAATTCATTAAATTGCGTTTTTTAAGTCACGTAACCATAAATTGCGTTTCAGAGTCCCCCAAGTTTGTTTCAAAAACTGCAGTCGAACCACAGATAACCAGAACATTGAAACATTTGTCGTGAAATCCATGTGCATTAAATTGTTTAAAAACGTTTTTGGAGTCCTTCAAATCCAACACCAGGGTGAGTTACAACACTAATATTTGTTCCCTGAGAATCTATAATAAAATAATACAAATGGTGTCACCATGTAATTTTCAAACTGTATTTATTTTTGGTGTAACTTAACATTTATGTATGTTCCCTAAGAAAGTTTCCAAATTTCCTCCTAAACATGTTTTCAACGAAAGAATTCAATAGGTAGGTAGGTAGGTAAAAAATACAAAATATATCACTACCATAAGTGTAAAATACTTCATGAGCCCGAAAACTAAAACGGAAATAAAATGTTGCATTATTGTCGCCATGTTTATTTATCCTTGACTATTCCCTCACCAGAGTGAATTGCATCACGGATGTTTGCTCCACAGGAGTGTGCCATAAAACTGAATTCATATTCTAAATTCAGAAAGGTGTGTGTAATTTAGGGCCTCACTGATCACTGTGTTCCCCGGAATCAATTGGTTTGCCATTACCGTAGCTATCGCTGAGGTAAAAAGTCACCCACCCCTTGGTTATTAACACTGTTTTTTCGACACCAGATGGATTCTCGTCCCAAATTTTGGTTCCCAGGCACCTCAAATAAACAACCTATCTAACAGCTTGGTTGAATTGATGATATAACCAAACAATCATGGTAGATTGGCCTTGTTTTTCTCTAGCGCGAAAACACAAGGGCGTTAAGACTCGTTTTTGATAGATGCAGATCGTTTAGATCGAAGGGTTACTTTTGTTTCAAGTTCGTTGTTGTTTTGGGTGAATATGTTCAAGCCCAAAACTGTAGCAATAATGTTTATGTCGCTGCACGTCAAAACACACTTTTGAACTTGACAACATTCACTCTCGGACCACTAAACAAATAGGTGGAAATGCCATCACTCATGAAGATTGATGATTTGATTTCTTACTGGGAGAGCTGTATTTAGGGCTCATTTCTCAATTTCGTTGCGTAAAATTATATCGCTGGTAGACAATGATGGCTGACATATTGTTTTGGTTCAGTGGCTGTCTTGGCACGGGCAACTTTTTTTTACTATTCTGACGTTTTTTGGTCACATTTTGTATATACCAGTCAGACACTGACAAGTAAGTGACATGATATTCAACATGGGGTATTTTGAATTTTTTATTTTCATAATAATGTAATTTAAATAAATAACAAGCAGCCTGTCATCTGAGATAGCTCCACTGTTAGAAATGCACATTTC